GATGGATATGTTCCAGTATTAGATGAGAAGGGGAATAAAACCACATCCATTTAAAATCTGACAGAGGACCAGGGAGAATAAAACCCTCTTGGTCTAATGACAGGACTAAATTGGGTTCTGTTTCAAGTTGCCATTGAGTATCTGAGTTCTTTAGAAGGCAGATAAAACAACCTCAAAGAAGAATGATGTGTATAACGGATTAATTTCCAGAGCATTCACAGATGCCATTTCTGTTGCAAGTCTTCCTTCCTGAATTGTTTTCAATTTTCAATTGAGGGGTTATGTTAAAGCAAATAGATGAACCTGGTTTTTGAGCCTGAGTCTGAGATACAACTGTTAAATTGGCTTTGCGGAGAAGAAATCTAAGAGGATGAGGTCAGAGGAATGGGATGGAAAACATACCCATGGTGCAACTTCTTCACTAAGTTAGGCAACCTGCTCTCTGGAAAAGGACTATTTAGCCAAGACATTCTTCAAGACCGAGGCTGACCAGAGATGCCTTATAGCCCACAGGGAGTTATCCTGTTCTTTCAGAGTTTGAGAAGGCTTATCAGGAGCTAGGCACACATACACATAACCTTATTCCCTGTCTCTTCTCCCCAATTTTCTCGGGGGAATATTTCTGAATATTAGAGACATGGAAAAAAATGACATATTCTCCTTTTCTCTCTCCTCATGTAGGTATTTCAGAATTGAACTACAGGGGCCCTGTAGAATTCTTTCTCTGTCAGTGATCAACAAGAGGCAAATGTGAGTGGTTTAACCTCAACAAGTGGTCTTAGTTGAATCTACCACAAAAAAGGTGATTGAAACCCTCTACTTTAGGCCCTAAAAAAAAAGGGAGGAGAAGAGTGCAGATTGGTTTGGCTCCGTGGATAGAGCATCGGCTCTTCAGCTCTTAAGCCGCAGGGACATAAAGCAACTTCTGTTTTTAATCCTCACCCAAGGTTATGTTTACTGATTTTAAAGAGGGGGCGGGGAGAGAGAGAGAGAGAGAGAGAGAGAGAGAGAGAGAGATATTGGTTGCCTCCTGTGTGAGCCCCAACTGGGGATTGAACCCACAACCTTCTTGGTGTATGG